GCGGTAGGAATCTCAAAGATGCAATGACTATTTTTTTACCTCAACTAATTAAGGCATTATATAATTATATAAAATATAATTATGTATTATTAAAGTAAAAGAAAAATATACTGGAGGCTTAGATTCAAAATTTCTAATATTTGTTGAAATGTATTTTATTAGTGTAACTTAAAAAAAAAGCATTATTTTAATAATTTTCAAATAGCTAGAGCTTTCATCTCGAGTTAATTAAACTTAAAAGATTTATTTATATTATAAGTTATAATCTTTTTAAAAAAATATTTACAATAAATGAAAAGTATTGATAACCTACCAAGATATCTTTTAGAATAAATTCAAATGTTTGAATGGTAAATTTGTCAATCCATATAAGTTTGATAAAAATTTTGTTTTTGGTTTTATATTTTTTAAAATCGAGCTTGTGTATAGCAATTTTGCTTTTTACAAATACTTTTGAAATCTCGAGTAAAAGAAAAGGAAAACTAAAATTTTTTGAAATAACATTATAAGGCCTGCTTGGAAAACTAAGAGTAAGAAAAAAAAATTATATTAACAAGTTCAAATTTAAAATTTAAAAAAAAAAGTTGGTTTGATTAGAGAGAGAAGAAAAATTTAGGGGCAACCGGATATTGGCGCATAGACTCCCTTCTTCTATATTTTCAGAGAAAGAGAATTAGTATATGATCTATTCGAAGCAGCCACCAATATGAGAATGATGGAAATTTTTTTTCGGGAGTCGCGGCTGATCTACCTCATGGCTAGATAGATAAATATTTGGATTTCTACGATTACCTCATAGTAATCAATATAACCCGGTAACAAAATCCTATTTCTTGAAGGAGTATGCATTATTTGTGGGGAAGAAGTAATAAATTGTGCGTTTAAAAAAATGACGAAACATATCAAATGTTGAATAAGTGGATAAGTCACCATTTTTTTAAATCTTGAATAAATATTTTAGAGCAATAGAACCTTGTAACAAATTAGGTATACATGTTTGATTTTATTTGATAGAACGAATAACAAACCCAACAAATCTTAATAGTAGAGAATCTATCTAATAAAACAATCAAGTAATGACAAATCAAATTTAAACCACCCAAAATTGATACGATTTTAAAATTATATAAAAAAAATATTGTTAAGGTAGATTTATTTTTAGGGAAATTTATGAAACCTTAGTATCCTAATCTTGTGTTTGAAGAAGTTGGATTTAGGGTTTGTATGGTAGCAACCTCTCACCTTTTTGCCCCACATCTTCATTTCAGCTTTTCGAATGAGGTAAGTCCAGCAGTATTTTGTTCTGATTTTGGGATTTTGAACGATGTAAAACGAAGAAACGAAAGGTTTAAAAAGCTTGTTATTTGTCTTCTCGTAATTTAGGGAGAATTTAAAAATAAAAAATAGATGTGGGACCGACCATTAATTTGAGAAGTATATCTACTTAAATTCAACTACTTTATATAGTATATACATGTTATTAATGACCTTCTAATTTTAATATTTGTCCAATTAGTATATACATGTTACTATTGACCTCCTAATTTTTTGATATATACATATACTGACATTCTAATTTTGATAATTGAGTTGCATTATGATATATACATGTATTGACATCCTAGTTTTGATAATTCTTGAATTGGTATTTACATGTATTGACCTTCTAATTTTAGTAATTCTTTATAAATTTAATAATTCTTCCATGGGTATATACATATATACATTTATCGACCTTCTAATTTTGATAATAGAGTTGCATAATGTATTGTCCTTCTAAGTTTAATAATTCTTCAATTGGTATATACATTTATTGACATTTGATTTTTAATAATTCATCAAATGTTTAAAAGGATGACATAAAGTATGATGGAGAGAATGAAAGGGCGAATGATTCTATAGATGAAGAGAAGAAAAATAAATCAAACTCAAAAACTTAATTGAATAATGATACGTTGAATATTAAGAAAAAGTCAAAAAAAAATATATATGGAAAAGGGTACCGTTGGAAAATCATAAAACTCTTAAAATTACCTTTTAGCCATTTGCGTAAAATTTAAAACCCGGTGGTCCATCTAAATTCTCCAAAAATTTAAGGCACGTTTATTACAAGGGAAAAAGGTGCGAACCAGAAAATTTGAGATCATATTTTTTTTTCTTTTTCTACAATTAAAACAAATATAAAAAAAAAATACAAGATACGATATTTAAGACTATAGAAAGGGATATTTCATAGCAATGGTACAATCTCTCTCACATATATTTTCTTTTCCCAAATAAAAACTTCTCATAATTTTGACTTGTGTTAAATAGCTTTATTTTTTTAAGCGCAAAATTGAAAAACAAAAATGACAAAATATATATATGTAGTATATGTATTTTGAAAGTTCAGTATCAAATGTATAATTTAAATACATGTTTAGACCAATGTTTTTAAATTTCAATTTTACATAAATATCAATGAAAATAATCGATATAATGTCGAAGTCAATAGATATTTCTAGAAAAATCATAAAAATTATTTAAATTAACAAATAATAATTTCACCATTTTAAAATAAGTTTAAAATTCTTATGGTTATTACCGCTACATCAACGATATTTTGTTGATATTTTTTAATATTTTATCGATTCTATTTTGTAATATTATGAAAATATCAATTCACAACTTGTCGATATGGATTTCAGGAAGATATGATGAAAATATTTGCATGTGAACGGAAATTTAATATCATGTAATTTTTTAAATTGGTTTTTGGGGTCCACAGCTTGACATAAAAATAAAGAGGAGAACGTTACGTGCTGGTTTTGAAATGGTTTGAAGTTTGAACTAAGAAGCATCATCACATTCATTTGGAGATCATCTTACTATAATTAGTAATATATTTTTTTTTCAAAAAAAAAAAAGTAATATATATGCATTTAAATTCGCAAGAAATAATTTATCTAAAAAATAATATATTGAAAAATATACGGGTTTGTACCATAGACCATCTAAATTTTAATCGGTATCGTGTACCGTTGATGTCAAAATCCAATTTGCTGATGTGGTCGTTTTCGTTGCGTGTGAGTAACCTTCGAAATAACGCTAGTTTGGTGCTTTGCCTAATGCACTCCGAAGCTTAAGTCGGTATTTAATTTTTGCATAGAGAGTGATTTTAGCGAAATAGATTTAATGGCAAATGATTTTGTGAAAGTAATTTTTATGCAATATAGTGACCAGCACAGGACTAGTCCAATATCTCATGATGGATGATACCATGAAGCCGAAGACCATTGCGAGTCATCCCACGGACTAAAAGTGATTTTGAATGATTAATGTTTGATTTCAAAAGGAATTTTTAGAATCACCAAATTAATAATATATATTTTAAAAATTAATTAACAACATTTATTAAGAGATTGTGATGAAAGAAAACATGATATATATATAGCTAAATAATTGATCTCATAGAAATTTTAGAGAGAAATAAACCTAGAGAAAGATAGGGACTAAAAATTTAGAGTGAGATTAGAACAATTCTAGAGAGAACGAACAACATTAGAGATTAAAAAAAAAAGTTAGAGAGGGATAAAAATTTTCGAAATGAAAAAAGACAAATTTTTCGAAATTTTAAGGTGAAAATAAATCGAAATAAAAAGACAATTTTGAAATTTTGAATAAATAATAACCATTTTAAAAACTAATTTCCTATTATTTTTATTTTATTATTATTATTATATATATATTTTTTATAAAAATCACTTATTGATCACAAATCACTTAAGAGTGATATTAGATTTTTCCAAAATCACTTATAAATCATGGTGAAACATCACTTCCAAACATATCCTTACGTAAATTAACAAAAAAAAAATAAAAAAGAAAAACTCAATTTTCCTTTAAAATTAAATAACTTAAACTCTTAGGTATAGTCGTTTAAAATTATCAACTTGAATGTAGCTCAGCTAGATAAAATATATATTTTCAACTAAAAAATTGGAGAGTTTAGTTGGAGAGTCGAATCCCGAAAGGAACAATATTTTGAAGTGATGGGTTCATGGTTTTTTTAACTCTTCTGTGGCCCTTTTCATTTTCTCCCTCTTCTTATCCATAGGGACACCAAAAGTCTACTAAAGAAGTCCTCTTAACTCTTATCAATGGATATGCCCCTTTGGGCATATGAGTCTATAAACTCTAAAGAAAATTGATCCCATTTATACAACTATATCATTTTGTTATCTTTCTTTTTTTAGAAGGAAAAAAAAACGATTTAATGTATTGAACAAGATTTTCAATGCATCAATTATAAAAGTACGATTAACTTATGGGACTAGTTGTTTAGTTTGTAAAGTCTAATCGTCAAATAAGCTTGTTTGCAGTCCAAAAAAATAGATCTCAACGAGGTCGGGAGTATCCCTTATTGGAGATGCAAGCATATAGTTCCATGTCAATTTGAATTGAGAAAAAATTTAAATATATAAATTAGAATGTCTCAATCGACATGATGATTTTTAGACACAACCATGTGGTAGATAACATGTACTATGGAGAGTCACGTTGTTACGACAATGGCTTTTTTTTCTTTTTTTTTTCCCGTCTAAGTGAAATAAATGAAATCTATTGTCTTCAGCTTATTCACATTTTCTAATTTAAGCAATAAACATAAATTTTTGGAAAAAGAAAACACTTTTTATCGCGCTTAAGGAATTTCAATCACTTTCTATTAAATAAATTATAAAGATGCTGTTGGGAGACAGTTTTAATTTAAGGGAAAAAAAAAAGTCTACTTTGTAGGAAAAGAAATGAACTATATTCATTTCCACTATTTAAATGAATTAATAAACAATAGAAACATATTTGTATTTCTAATTATTGTTCTCTACAAATTTTTAATAAAAATATGAAACAACAATTATTTTTTAATAAAAATTAGCAAGGAAACCAATTTGAAGAACCTCTTCTCCTTGACCAATACTTGCATATATTACGGGTGATGAGTGATGAGACATCTCTAGTTATTAACTAAGAACAATTTTCTAACATTACATTCGCAGTTGCAGAGAATTCTACAAAAAAATTCCAATGGCAGAAAGATTATGAACTGGAAATTGGAAAAACCCAAAATTCTAGATGATATACAGACCAGCAAAGATCTTTTTACAAAACCCCTAACGCACTTCAAACATAAATAAGAAAAAGCCAACAAAATAGCAAGCAATTTACAACCCTGATCAGCTATGAACATAATAATTGCATTTTAAATAACTCCCATAATAAAAGAGTAATTAACACGGGGCAAAGGGTTCGAAGAGCCTCTCGCAAGGGTTTGGATCGAACTGTAGAATTTCAGCAGCACGTTCAAACTCTTCTCTCAAAACTTTGATACTATACTTATCGACCACTCGACCGAGGTCGTGCGATGTCTCAAATGGATCCTCTATGCATATCAGATGACGATCGTTGCCGATCCTCCTAGTCCAATCTTTTGCTCTCTTGCTGCACATTGAGTTGACAAGTTTGGGTTATGATATTCACTGTAATTCTGTTGTCAAAGGGGATAAAATTTCTAGCACATTTATCATATAAAAGAAAGACAAAAAACAATGAAATTATAATAATATCTTAGGCATGACCGTATTGAGAATAAAGAAATCAATCTTTCCTTAATATGAATGAGGAAATACAAACGGAGGATAATGCAAAAATAAGGGAAAAAAAGAGAACTATGAGATTAGAAAGAGAGTTGTTCGAGTATAACATACGAAGCATAACTAGAAAACACCTTGATATGGTCATAGCCACCTAAAGAGAAGAATTAAACCTAGCTATAGAACACGCCTCCCGAGTACTCTCAACTTTCAAAATAATGAATCCCCCCATGGAGTTGGAGAATAAACTGTTACTAAACTGGAAAGTCTCAATACAACATAGATCAGGAAATTTCGGAAGAACGAAAATTTAAGTCGCCTAATTTAAGTCACATTTTTTGTTATATCTATTAGTATTTGGGTCACCATACTTGCATCTTAAATAATCTCACAGGAAGCCCGCCTAATCCTACTATATTTAGTTGCCAAGAAAACTCGTAGGATATTAAATTCTAATTAGGTGGTTATCATAGTTTGAACTCATTTTTTCTAAACCCTTTATTTTTCCATTGTAATTGCCCACTAATCCAATTCATGGTGGAAAGGGGACAGCAGTGGGCTTTTCTCGACAAAATCAGTCAGCATTCTCTCTGTTGATTAAACCCTCACAAAAACTGAAAGCTCCCGTGACCTCCTACGTATGGAATTTTATGGTCCCTAAGAAGGTGAAATTCTTCTTTGATCTGTTTTCCATAGAAGTTAATTCTTCTTTGATCTGTTTTCCATATAAGTTTAAACACGGCAGAGAGGCTACAAAGAAGATCTCCGTTCTGGTCTCTTTCTCCTTCGGTATGTGGGCTTTGTAACAACGCAGCGGAAACAATAGACCACCTTTTTCTTCACAGTTCTTTTGTTACTAAGGTTTGGGCATTTGTTCAGTCAGAGCTGGATCTTCAGCTTTGTCTCCCTAGGAGAATAGATGACTTATTTCTTAGAAAATTTTGGGGGAGCCTTGCTCAAAGGCAAAGCCTACGTTCTGTGGAATTACCTACGTTTTGTGGAATTGTGCGGTGAGGGCGACACTGTGGTTGATTTGGAAGAAAAGGAATAGGAGGCTTTTTGAAAACAAGATACCTATCGAGGAGATGTTTCGTATTAGTGTACAGCATGTTGCTTCTTGGTGGTCCTTATACCACAAAAAATTCTTTTGTAGGCTAATTTCGTAATTATAGCCTACAAATGATAGATAGGAATTGGAAGGCTGCCATTGTTTAGCTTTTGGGGATGGTCTTTTCAACCCTCTGCCCTTAAGTTGTCTCCTCTTTTGATAGATCAATGAATACTTTGTTTCTTATAAAAAAAGAAAAAAACTAATCCAATTCATGGTGGTTAGTTCAACCAAATCACAGCAACTAACAAAATTACGATTTGACGAAAACTCCATATTCTACAGGCATAAGAAGATTTTTCTACCTGGCAAAGCTCTGGCTGCACAACAGAAACTAGTTTGAACTCGTTTCCTCTCCACTAACTCTCTTATTAACGTTTTCCTTCACCTAACTAACACTCTCGTCTCTGTGTACTCTTCCTCTTACGAGTGAAACGAATGGGGGTAAAATACTGTGCCCATATCTATCTCTTACTCCCAGCATCATATTTTCAGAAGCGCAAAACTAAGAATCACCTGATAAAAGTTCGGGAACTTCAAGGTCGTAGGTTTAAGTTTGGTGATTGTCTAACAAAAATATGAGAATCTTACGAGTTTCCTGATAAGCAGTTTGCAATAGGCCCCAAACTCAAGCTATTTAAGAATACTGCAACAACTGCACCTCTCTTTTTCGCTTAAAAGATGTTGAAAGAATCATGCACGTCAACCTCTATAATATAGTCCAGCATTATGTAAAACCCGGAACAAAAAGACTATCCTCGGTATCCTCAAGGGTAACAAGAGTTTCATTGATTTTAAAAGTTCATCCATATAATCATATAAACAAATATTATATCATATATCTTACCTAATAATGCTTCCAGTACGAATTGATATGACCGCATTCGCATAATCATGACAATATGCCCAATAATGGAAGAATCTCCAGACGAGTTGAGCAATACTTTCCTTGTTCTCAGATCCAAAAGTTTTTAGCCTTTCAACTTGATCAAAGTAAGCACACTCAATATTATCAACAGTTTCATGAAAAGTAACCTTCATTTCCTGATCCAGAAGGAAGAAAAAAACGATATATGAATCACTAAATGAAAATCAAGCATAAGCTTATATGAAGCCAAACATCAAATGTGACACCTTCATTGGACATATACAAGAGCTAAACTGCCAATAACATCAGCCAAATCTATTATCAAGAATATAGCCCCCTTAAGCAGAACAACAAAACATATATAAGACTCTTGGACAGTAGAATAGAGTTAATTGAACAACTGAGCAACAATTGTTAAAACAAATAACAAATAACTGAAATAGAAAACAAAAGAAGCTCCTATGGTACACATCAACAGCTTAGGGCTTGTTTATTGAAATTGATCCAAAACAGCTTTCTTTTGTTGAACAAAAAAGTCTAAGAACATATTTGGATAACTGCTTTTTCTTATTTTCTTTTAGAATGTTTTCAAAGATGACCTTTTATTCAAGTTGCTCGTAGCTTCAAATTGATGGGTTTATGAACATTGATTTCAACCCACACAATAAGATTATCCTTAACAAATATTCATCACTCATCTGATCATAGTTCTTAAAAACACTTTCGAAAGGCAAAAACAGAATACCATTTTGCAAAGTAACATTCATGAGAGCTCTTTTTTATTTAGTGAGTGCAATAAGCACCAAACATGAAATTCGGCCACTATATGTTAAGAATTGTACTACTTCTGACATAAATAGGATGCTAACTCATGTTTTATTTTCATCTTTCTAGTTCCTTGCCTCTTTTCTCCCTAAATCATAAAGCTAGATGGCCAATTTTAACAGATATCTAAAAAGTTTATTGCTACAAAATAACTATATGTAGATTGTAGATCGACCACCCATGAGAAAGGAAGGTGATAAAAGAAAAAAAAGAAGGATTTAAAATGCAAGTCTAGACCATGAGCATAAATTAACAGATTTGAATACGAACCTGTAAACATGGTAGGATAGGAGGCTCTCGATTTTGTAAGAAATGGATGCACATCAAAACATACCTGAATTGATAATAGGCATATTAGCATATTCCCATCAAGATAACATGCGAAATTCTGAACACTTGACAACTTGGAAGTGTCCACAACTTTTGAAAATCAAAAGTAATAAATTGTTTATATCCTTGTCATACCGATCATTAATCTCTAATCCTGATAGCTTCATAAGAGTAATTAATTTAACATGGATCATAATGTAGCAGAATTCCATAAAGTTTGTCAACTTACGCATAGCTAGAAAGGGTTCCCTGGTACGTTTCATTTACTCCTCTTGACTTTGCCCAATGCTTCACAATAAAAGCCAACTGTGGTAATCTCATATCTATCTGTGCATAATCCCGGAGAAGTTTTGTATTTACAACAGCCAAAACATTGTTTATGCATATGTCACAGCATATTCCCGTCACCGGATCCTTAAGCTTTATAATAGGAACCCTTGCACGCGTCAGGGCCTAGAACCATAGCCAACTCGACGTCAAATAATAGAAATTTCTTTTTTGGATAAAAAACCAACATGAAAGAAAATACAAGGACATGTAAAATAATAGGAATTTAAAGGTTTTTTTTTTTTTTTTGTGCATGCTTGAATGTTGCTTGAGGTTGAATCAGACCATTATGTCTCCGTTTAATTATTATCTTACAAGCATACTATCCTTTTTCCTCACCTAAAAAAACAAATACACACACGGTTCGGAGGACAGAATGCAAGCTCATATGAAGTCGTGCAACTAAAAATATAACACACAATCATAAATTGACCTGACATCATTACTAAGATGCTACAACTTCAACCAAGTAAAAGATTCTGAATGGTAAATAATCTAAATACCTGCACATTCTGCAGATTAGCTGACTGCAGAATATCTGCCAACTTCAGTATGATCTCAGACTTGTCAATATCAGCATCCCTAAGCACAAGACACACGTCTATATCACTATTCGAAACGCCAAAGGAGTTTGCACATGATCCAAAAAGACAGAGGCGTGCACGAGGCCATTCTTTAACCACCAATTTCTCTAATGAGGTTATCAATTGCCTCTGTTTTTCTTTTTCTCCCTCAGGTGGTATCAGGGATTCATAAATCGCAATAAGAGGAACTGTCATCATATCTATGTCGCCACGGCATCTTATATGTCTTCTATAGATCCTATCCCTTTGCGTAAGTACTTGATTCCCCCTGCTATCCTGCATAGGAAGTTTCAAAATAAATTTTGTCTCCAATGTGATCATTTCTTGCTTTAATATTAATAGCGCCTTCATACAAACATTACATAGTAAATCTTCTCGCAAGTTGATATGGTATTCAAATGAATATTTAAAGAGATCGTAAGTACAATCAGCTAGAAAAATAGTAAGGTCTCTTGTTTCAAGAGGCATACAATCTCAATGTTAAGATGATAAGTTGCATGCCTTTTTCTATCAATAAACTTCAGTTTTAGTATCTTATCGATTCACACGTGAGATATTTTAATACCAATGTTTTCATACAACAAAAGCCATTGTCCAAAAATACAAGATAAATGAAGAGAGAAAGATTCAACCTTCTCACGACGAATATACTTGGCATCAATTTTCTCATCAGGTTCGTCCTCAAGCAACAAGGAACCAACCAGCTGTTCACTGATACTGTCATGTTCCTGGTTGTCATTAATGTTCCTTGAATCGACTTCCTTCCCCATCAAACCCCGCCCCGGATGGCTGTCTCGGGCCCTGCCTTCAACAATCTCAGCGTGCAAATTCAAAACACTTTCTTCAGTATCCAATGCTGATTGAAGATCACTCCTATGCCTGTGAGACCCCTCCCC